AGTCGGATGCTTAACCGACTGAGCCACCCAGGTGCCCCTAGACATATTATTTTAATTTTGTAATCCCAATTCAAATTCATTTTGGAAATGATGGCATCTAAGTCCTAAAGCAAATTACTTACAATCACCTAGAGGGGTGTGGTGGCTTCTTTCTTTGTGGCTATCAAGCTTCCCCTTTCCTCCACAGCATCTTCTCTGACCAATCCCATCTGTCTCTAGATGCTCATTGCTGTGTGTCCACTCACACAGCATTCATGTGCACACATTTGTGTTTCTATCCCATTAGTCTTATAAGCAGCTTGGGGGTAATTGAGGAATTGAGTGAGCTCATGATGAGACCAATTCAGCGCCCCCTCTCCTCCAACATGGGTGCCCTACAAATGGCATTCAGTGATGGACATATGGACAGGCAAAGCTCAGCTACTAAAAGTGGGTAGGCTGTAGAGCTTGAATAAGAGGCAGGGATTTGGGAGCTGCGGGGGACATGATTTAGAATGTGTGTATTAGTATTCCCACATTCTAGTTTTAGGGATTCTTCTGGACTTTCAGAAGAAAATGAAGAACAGCAGATGTCTTGTGCCTTCACTGCCAAGGCCCTCTATGCCAGGAAATATAGCAGTTGGCCATGACTGGGAAAGAGTATGAGACCACACACATCCTTGAGAACTCGAGAGAAAAGCCCAGGTTTGCATTAGGCCCCACACCCAAACTTTATATGCATTCCTGGGCCTGCTGAGCCAGAAGGACTTGTTGTTACATAAATGTCCATATTGCTCGGGCAATAACCACAGGAAGGGAAAATGAGCTAGAATGTTAGGATGTGGATAGGTCCTGCAGGACACCTGTGGAAAATCCTCAATTTACACTTGACAGAGGGCATAGTAACACCTCTGAACATATACCCTCAAGTGGTTGACTGGCTGGCTGGCCTCTCTCACATACACTTGTCAGTATATGCACACACACCACTTACGCCTGCAGTAGGCAGTTCCAGACCAACGGCGGTTTGGCAGACATTGCACCGACCTTCGTCCGATCAGTCGAAAGCCCCGATCGCAGGAGAGCTCACAACGAGTACCCAGGGTGCTGTGATAATTTCCTCCCCTTGGTGAGTAGCACGTGGCTTCTCCATCCTGGATATTTAATGTGTAACACCATCGGGGGACTGTAGCAATAGAAGAAAAGTAAGCTAGAGGTACAGCAATCAAGACAGTGTAGTATTGGTGAAAGGACAGCACATAGATCAGTGGATCAGAATAGAGAACCCATAAATCGACCCATACAAGTAAGTCTGTCAAAATGATTTTTGACAAGGGCACCAAGGCAATTCAATGGAGGAAAGCTTTTGAACTAAAAAGTTCAAAACTTTTGAACAAATGGTGCTGCAGTAATCAAACTTCCATAGGCAAATGAAACAAAACAAAACAAAACAAAACTTCTGCCTAAGTGTCATAACTTATACAAAAATTAACTTAAAATGGATCATGGACTTAAATGTAAAAAATTAAATTATAGGGGTGCTTGGGTGGCTCAGTCAGTTAATCATCTGTTTTTGACTCAGGTCATGATCTCACAGTTCGTGAGTTCAAGCCCCATATCGGGCTCTGTGCTGACAGGTCAGAGCCTGGAGCCTGCCTTGGATTCTGTGTCCCCCCCTCTCTCTGCCCTTCCCCGGTTCATTCTCTCTCTCTCTCTCTCAATCTCTCTCTCTCTCTCTCTCTCTGTCAAAAATCACTAAACATTAAAAAATAAAATAAAATTATAATACTTTTAGATAAAAAAACAGGAGAAAATTTCTGGGATCTAGAACTAGGCAAAGAGGTCTTAGACATGACACCAAAAGCTCAATTCATAAAAGAAAAAAAATCACAAAATTTAACCTTGTCAAAATTTAAAAAGTTTGTTCTGTGAAAAACACTGTAATAGACAAGACAAATCACAAACTGGGAGAAAATATTTGCAAACCACATATCTGACAAAGGAGTAGTATTTCGAATATATAAAGAACTCTCAAAACTCAACAGTAGAAAAGGAAAGAATCCTGTTAGAACATGGGCAAAAGACACCAAGAAACATGTCACTGAAAAGGATATACGGATAGCAAATTAAGTACATGAAAAGATGTTCAGCATCATTAGAAATCATTAGTCATTAAAGAAATGCAAATTAAAACCACAGCGAGATACCATTATACACCCATTAGGTTGTCTAAACTTAAAAAAAAAAAAAAAACACCTGGTAATATTAAGTGTTGGTGAGGATGGAGAGAAATTGGGACTCTCACACATTGCAGGGTGAAATACAAAATGATACTGCCACTTTGGAAAATATTTTGGTAGTTTCTTATAAAGGTAAACACACACTTGCTGTGCAACTCTGCAGTTCCACTTTACATATTTACCCAAGTGAACAGAAAACCTGTGTTCATACAAAACACTGTACGCAAATGTTTAAAGTATCTCAATTCACAATTACCAAAATGTGGAAACAGCTCAAACGTCCTGTGTGTGAATGGTTAAACTTACTGTGGTTTATCCATACAGAAGAAGGAAGCACCGACAACATGCAACATGGATGGATCTCCGATGCAGTTTGTGACCTGGAAGAAGGCAGACTCACAAGTCTGCATACTGTAGGAGTCCATTTATATGACATTCTGAATTAGGCAAAAATACAGGGACAGATGAATGGTTGCCAGAGTTCAGGAGTAAAGGTTGGGGATAATTTTAAAGGGGAAGCCCTAGGCAAATTTTTGAGGTGATGGAACTGTGGTGGTGGTTACCTGACTATGTGCATTTGTCAAAACTCATAGAACTGTACACCAAAAGAGTGAATTTTATAGTACGTGAATTTATTTTTTAAATTTTGCAATGTTTGTTTATTTTTGAGATCGAGAGACAGAGTGTGAGTGGGGGAGGGGCAGAGAGAGGGAGATACAGAATCCTAAGCAGGCTCCAGGCTCTGAGCTGTCAGCACAGAGCCCCATGCAGGGCTCGAC